AAAAGTCACTCACTAACGAGATAAACCAGCATTTTCGCGCGCGACTCTCTGCGCACATTTAAGCGCAGTTTCTCGTTTTATTAGGTTGTAAAGAAAGTTCCCGGGCACTTTTGGAAAGTTCATTTTCAAACGCATTTTTTCGGCGCTCGGTCGGACTTTAACGACTAGTTTTTTATACCGTTCAGTAGAGGGAAGCCTAAACTTTTCAAAAACGCTTTTGATTTTTATCGATGCCAAAACATGTCTGATCTGCACATCAAAAAAGCAAACCTTTCTCACCATAAAAATTTCACAATTTTTCTTTCTGCGGCCATTTTTTTGCGCAATTCACAGAATTTCGTCCAAATCATGGGTGATCTGATTGAAAAGTCTGTTGACTACTGACCCGCAGCTGCACTCGAGTTTGGCGATCTGCGCTCAGAAGTTACAAGCCGTCAAATTTGCAACTGACTGCATTTCTTTTCGCAGCTGGCGTCGCTTCTGCGGGGATCGCCATGCCTGGGTGATGGGTCCAAAAGAAGTGTAAGGCATTACCCCAACAAGATTCGCAGTAATCAAAGATTTGATCAGCCCTGTGCAGAACGAGGAGACTTCAAAGCAACTTACTCGAAAAATGGTGCATTTTTGGGGGCAAAAAATGGTCGATTTTTCAAACTTTTCGGGGAAAATTTTTTTGCAGGGAGTCCTTCAAAAACATGAATGGTCCCCATAACAGCCCCGGCAGAAGTCTATATAACTACAACATCCTGAGCTTTCCAGCTCTCATCCTGCATGAGATAATCCTGCGCAAATAGGCCACTTTTCGCGACGACCTTTTTCCCTTCTGCGCATGCTGGTGGACCGCAGTGAGGTGCTGAGAAGCCAGCAAGACAAATATATGTCGTGGACAAGATTGTCTTTGCAATGAAGTTTGGAGCTTTAGAAAAGAATCAATCTGCTTGAAGTTACAGCGATTTGAAAAAAAATTTCGTAAGTGCCCGGGAACTTTCTTTACAACCTAATAATTTAACTGCATCAACTTTCCCAAACTTCTGAAACTCAATTTTGATCAAGTAAGAGGCCAACTGAGAAACATTGTCCTGAATTTTGAGGAAACTTTCACAGAAAATCTCTTCACAGCATAAAAAAGCTTTAAAAAAGCAATTTCTTGGTTTCGCTGAGATATTCTTCAGATATTTTCTCCTATATTTGATTAATTCACATTCGTTCCGATATAGTCTGGATTATAGCATCCGGGGCTCGCCCCGGATGACTTCTTTTTTTACCGAGTGAAGGTTGTCTCCTCTCATGGCCCTCAAAGTGAAGGTTACCAGAGTACATGGCTCTGTGTATCGAGGGTATGGTTACAGCGCAAGGCCAGAGCAAGGCGGGTGAGGATCTGAGCCGCTTGACTTAGGCTCCCGCCAGAGTGCCGAAGTTATGCCAGCGCTACGCCAGCATTTCGATCGATACACGTGTGTTTCGTTGGGCGGGGCTAGCTGACGTCCCCAACGAAATACACGTGTATCGATCGAAATGCTGGCGTAGCGCTGGCATAACTTCGGCACTCTGGCGGGAGCCTTATTGCGGCAGCCTGTATATCAATCACTATACTTAAACCGGCTGCCCTTATAGTCCGAAGGCGTAGAAAATTATTGTTAGAATGTTATAAAGTTAGTAGAGGAATAGTACTTCGAGTAGGCGTGTAGGCTGAACAATAATTATCTTGAACCTGTGTAAAAGATATGGAAGATCCCTTACAACAAAAGTACTAACCTCAATACAACTAAAACAACTTTGTGAAAATTCAATCCTACAGCAGAAACTGTGAAACTAGTGATTAATAATTCCCGACAAGTATTGGATTATCAGCTAATATATAGATATTTCCATGCTTCTTTTTCTGGATAGATGAGCACAGAACTAATTAGGTTGTCCCGAAAAGTTTTGTCCGTTTTTTTTATTGCTCACTAGAATTAGAACACCAATCCATGGACAATTTAGATACGATATGATACATATTTTTATCTTCTTTCTTACAGCTGTATGCTCTCTGATCTACTCTGTCTTTGCAATGTTATCGTTACGGCTTCCTGAGCAGCTCAGAAGTAACGCCAAATCTTTACTGTTTTAAAAAAATTTTATCCTGATGTCTTCAAAGAGCACTGATAATTGTCATGTAGAGCAAGCCTTTGCCTACATTGCACCCATTTTGGATTACATGGCCATGTTTACCAAACTCGTTGTAGTTATTTGTTTGATGAAAACTGCGGGTTTTTGATTACGTTTACCACGTAGAAGTACCGAAAATTCCAAAAAGCTGCTTTTTCAAAGCAAATCAAACTTGTTTATGTAGCACGAATAATTTTTGATAAGAATCATATTTTAACTCGCAAAAGCTTCAAAAGCTTTCGTGTAGCTGCAGTTGCGTGTTTCTTGACTCTGAAAAAAATCGAGACTTCCAAAGAAATTATGTTTTTGAAGCTAAAAACAGCAAATTAAGAGAATTCAAAAATATTTCCTTGTAGTCCGAAAATTGCTCTATTTGATCCGTACTTAGTCCTTTCCGAAGCTTTGGAATAAGAAAACAAAGTAGCCTAAGTTTGAGCAGATAAAATTGGCGGGTGGAAAATTTTGGCAATTATCAAAGAAAGCATATAAGATTGTGGATCAAAAATGTATTCTTAAAAAGAGAAGGAAAAGCTGCATCGAATGCATGTTGAAACTTATTCAGGTCTTTATTGTGCGTGGTTTTATCGTGGTATGAAGAAACGGACAAAACTCTTTCGGGACAATAGCAGAGGTTCGCTGATTTTATTACTGTAGGCCTTCCGCGTGCTCCCCCAATGCTAATTTTAGAACTCACGCAATGCTGACCATCTTATATATAAAGCTGAATGTCTATCTGTATGTATGTATGTCTGTCTGTCTGTTTGTACGTATGTGCGGAATAGAAATTTTTATTTCTGAACCGATTTGGATCAAACTTAGCACACATATACTTCGGGGCGGGGAGCGTGTCATAGGCTACTTTTCGTTATCAATCGGTATGATTTTATCGATTTTTTGCAAAATTTGAGCTACGGGGCTGGGAGTTGGCACAGGGGGGGTAATCGAGCATGCTGATTACAAATACATTATTGACAGGGCCGGGCGGAGCCGGATTTGCCAACTGGTTACGAATAAATTACAAACAACTACCTAATCTTAAAGGTTTTCCGTGTTAAATCTTTAGCTTTGGGAAGAAGTTCTGTGTAGCTTCGGGAAAAACTTCTGTGAGGAAGAATTAATGCGGACTTTTAACGATTACTAAGTAAGGCATAGTAGCCATCTTAAAAGTCATTTACATTTTGAACTGCATGTTTGAGTAAAATTCTTCTGTTTGCTATCTGGAACCCTACCAACGACAGTAACCCAGTCATCCTACCACTTTCTACACATACAGGGTGTCCCAAAAAAATGTATCGAACTTTTGATCGTTAATATCTCGCTTCCCAAGAAGTCTTTTGCCTTGTTTCAGGTACCGTTTTGTAGAGCTGGCTTCAACATAGGTTTGCATTATGGAACGAATCACCCATTTTTCTTCATTACTGTAGGATTACGGGAGAAACTTGAAACATATGGTGTCAATGTGGAAAAAGCTGCCGTTTCAAAATTTTTTAAAAAAATGTGAAAACTTGTGTATTGGGGTTTTTATGGACACTGAGTTCAATACTCAACTATTCACAAGATTACGAAGTTTTCTCAACAATGTAACGGCACTTTTTAGGAACATTGAAAAAATGGCCGCTGCCTCTTACCTGGCATAACTCCTCAATGAAGCATCATAATAAATTGGGAACTTTACAGTTATAATCAGCAACTCTAATTAGCCTAGTGTAAAAGTTTTCAGGCTGTTTTGTTTCCTTTCTGGGGCAAAATATGGCCTTTCATTGCTTAAAACCCTCTTTGAAGTTTCTACCGTAATCCTACAGTAATGAAGAGCGATGAGTCATTCGTTCTATAATGCAAATCTAAGTTGAAGCCAGCTCTACAGACTGGTACTTGAAGCAAGGGAAAAGACTTCTTGGAAAAGGAGATATTAACGATCAAACGTTCGATACATTTTTTGGGACACCCTGTATAATTATCAGCTACAAATCTAGATCAAATATAGCGATTAATTTTTCGCAGAAAACCGCAACAAAGAAAAAACCAGCATTGTTCGTTGCACTAGATTATTCGATTATTCGAATAGTCGAATATTCGGATAGGTATGATTATTCGATTATTCGAATAGTCGAATATTCAACCAACCTCATTTATTCGAATATTCGTTCATTCGAATTTTGAAATTTAGCATTATTCGAATATTCGAATTCGAATGATCTGAAGATCACAGATCAAATAATATTCGTTCGTTCGAATGTTTTTCAAAAGCTGATTATTCGAAATGCATTCGTTCGACGAAATTTTTGGTCGTTTCAACTATAATGCGCGCACCAATTGGTGTCATACCACTGCGATTCGGTTGCAAACAAGCTTTTTCTGAGGAAGAGGATGCCGCCTGTATGTTGGCGGCATGCCGGCGTACGCCTCGAATTTCCCAGAAACAATAAGTCCTTGCTTTTTCCAGAAGCGAAATCCACGCTAATCCGGTTCCAGCTGTATCAAACCCTGGTTTCAGCTCTACAAATTATAGATCCAACCCATTGATGTGACCTATAAAGGCCCAACAGTCAAGAACTCTTTTGAACCTTATCCTCGTGTTTGCCAAGCACTATTCTTGCAACATGAGACGCAAGTTTGTGGAACTAATTTTCACCTTAGACTCACCTATGTTTGATTATAAAATAAACTTCCGTGGATTCAAATGACCAACAGCTCGAGCAATGCGTACATCAAGATAGTTGATGCGCTGAGTACAGAAATCATTTCCATTTGGATTTGCTTACTGACAAGCTCCAACGAAATTACGCAGAAGCGCGAGCCGAATTTTGAATGTTAAGCTAACACAAATGCACAAAAACCTTATGTTCTAGGTGCGACGATATCTTCAAGAAAATTGAAAAGGGACGTAAAAGCTGCACTTCTTGCAAATCTTCTTATGGACAAATCGAATGCTCCAACAACAGGAGCAGGTTTGTTTATGTCAATCCGAAAATAAGATGCTTGAAAGTGTATCACAAGTTGTGTTTGGAATATGGGCTAGTGAGGGGTTACAGTTCATGTTTCTTACTTCACGTAGCTCTAATGTTCTATCACAAATAGTCACACCACACTTTAGTACGTAATCTATACCTGCTATAAGTCAATGAACTTTTGTGGGCTTCCAAAAACTCAAACGAGACTTTGCCGAATTTTTGGGGATCGGAAATCTTTCTAAGGATTCTTGGTTCGTGGTAAGCGCTGATAGTAAATCTCAAATTTTGAAGTTAAACTTGAGTCGAATATCATACCTATATTCAACGTAATTAATCCATAACAAGGAAGAGATACGATGCGTTAATGTGAGCTTAGTTCGTACGCAGCTGCTTACATCATATCTCGAAAAAAATTCACTTCAATTCAGCCAAAAATATACATCGTAAGCAAATTCGCCACCCCGAAACGCCCGTGGTTCTATCCGTTCGTCGCACTCGAGCAACCAGGAAAGCTACGGCAAAGAATTAAATTCGTTATTTAGTACAGAACTAGCATGTTTTCTGTGGTCATGCTCTTGTTTTGACATGTTCCTGGAAAATAAATTACTCAAATGCGAACATGTAACCAAATCAAATCTTTGACCACTTTATTAAACTTTAAAGCCGTGTGAAACACCAGCACTTCGTTCGGTTGTTTGTGTAGAGCAGCTTTGGCAAGTGAAAATAATCGAGTGAGGAAGGCGAAGCGCCAATGGAGAAGTAACTCACCCAAACTGAAAGCTTTTGGCTCAAAGCTTATAGGATAAAGTGATAGGTGTTTGTGAGAGGTTAGAAACACATTGAAATCAAAGACCAGTAGTTAAGGTACACTATAAAGTATTAGGTTGTCCGGAAATTAATGTCCGTTTTGAATTTCAACTGCCATAAGTCACATACTTCTCAATTCAATAGGTTGCAGGGTACCCTTTGATAGAGGAAAGCAAGCTCTACAAGATGGCTATCTGGTTTTTGCAAAAGCTCTCATTATCTTCGAGTTTCGAGCCAAAAATCAAAAAGATTTAGCTGCCTGAAAAATCAAGAAAATCGTAGGCTCAGTTCGTAAAAATCCCACAAAAATTCTCTTGCTCACGTAAACGCTATCCACATAAGACATCTACAGGGTGCGGCAAAAGTCTGGGAGCCTAACTTTGCAGTACTGCAATTACAAAGATACTGATGATTTTGATTTCAATTTTATGCCACATGATGCTGCGGCCATCCTCTACAGAATACACTTTATCTGGCTGGAAATGGCTGCCACATGTTTTTGTAAGAATGGAAATTACCAAACTAGTACTTTTGCAAAGCGAAAAAACCAGAATTTCTGTTATTTACAATTTTTGCTGTAACTAGAGATGCTGATATTTTAGAAAACCTTAATGCACACAACATAGAAGAGACTTTGCGCTATTGTATCCTGGTTTTGCTTTTGCCAGGAGCTGTTCTTGCTTCAACGGAAAATAAAAGTTTGCGAATGTTACCTACGTGCCAGTGGAAATCCGTCTTTAGAGCTAATTTAAAAGCTATAGAATGCTCGACAGGCACTGGAACCAAGGCTGTATTTTTTGCATACGTCTTCTAAATTAGAATCTATTGAAATTCGTCCATGGGAACACTTTTTATACTTTCTGAACGATATTTCTAAGCTTTTATTCGCGCAATTGTAGCCAAAATTCCGGTATGCGACGTACACATGCTTCTAATTGAAAATGCAATATTTTTATTCCTAAACAATGCAAAAAATTTTTTTAGAAGTATGTTGTAGACAAAAGTTTGCTCTATTATGCTGCGCATTACCAATATAAAAGAAGCAGTTATTGTGAAGGCGTGGGGCGAATTCCATTACGACTACCTGCGTGCCACGACAGGTGGACTTGCCAAGATTTTGTAGGGCTGCTTGGAAGCCAAAAGAGGCAATTTTGCCATTCAAGAACTGGACTGTATCTGCAATGGTTCGAATTATGTGTGCGGCAAATTTTTCGTTTCTAGGTACTTCCCTTCTCGTTTTGTACGAAAAAGTACTAGGCTCCCAGATTTTTGCCGCACCCTGTATATACGCCGTTGTTGTCTTTTTTCACCCACTACGAATCAAGAAAACGGAAATTTTCGTGCTTTTGCCAAAGTGATGCTGTGCCGTCCCCACATGAGTAATCGTATACTACAAACCTGTAGAAGTATAAACGTATCAGCTTTCCAGAAGCTTTAGTTCTTAGAAAATTTAAGTTTTAGCTTTGATTACCTGACTAGGGAAAGTCATATTTGATATTTCTCGAGAACTAAAACTTGTAGAGAACGTTGTGTCCTTATATAAACCAATCAGCTGATCAAAAACTAGTCATACCTAAGACTAAGCCATAACACATGGAACGATCCGTTACATTCGCAATCCATTTCTCCGCATACCTTTTAGTGAAAGCTTATAATTCGGATGTTACGTCCAATACTTTTCGTCACGTTTCAGTAGGGCAAAAAAATTGAAAACGGTATGTTCATGTTCACATAACTTTCACAGGTTGTACAAAAACAGTGCTTGATCGTAAGAGACTGCGTTAATCGCGTTTCATCACCTTAACTTCTTTGGCTCAATTTAATAGGGAAAAACAACTATACAACTGCGAAAATATCTTTATTGAAAAGCTTTAGAATGTCGAATTTCGAATTGTCAAATAGAGGCAAGTTTTGTTGTATTTCTTTCCGTCAAACTTAGCGAAGCTGCAGCTGGGTATTCTGAGTATTTGACAAGGTGCAATGGTAAAAACTGTAAACGGTATTCTGCATATCTCAATTACTATTTGTTCCCGTTAGTGTGATCGTTCACTTTAGAGAGCGTGTTACTTATTAGGTTGCTGCATAAGTTCTGTCCGACTTTTTTGCCTTATGTTTGAAGCAGCTGTTCCATTAGAAAGTGCTTTCCTTGCTCTTTCTAACGCATATCAGATTTTAATAAATTTCTTAGTGTACGGAGATGTCAGGCCTAAAATCGCTAAGTGGTCGAAATACGTTCTCACCCTAGAAATATAATATATTCTTGCGAGGAAATCTCCACAATACGCCCTTCAAGTCAAGTTTTTTCATTGGCTGCGGAATAAGGGTGAAGAATTCTGGTATATGCAAAACTTCGGTTCAATGAAGAAAACGTCTTGCTAGTAAAATTTGTCGTCGAACATTGATTTTTTGTATGGACGTTTTACAAGCAATAACATTCTGCGAATAGAAGTAATCGATAAGCGCAAAGTTGGAGTTGCTAGGGCAAAGCAAGAGCTAGCAGGGCCCATCCACCAGTTCCTTTTCGGCCCTCATGTCAGTTGTAAAATTTTGAAATTCGTAAATAGGCATGCACATATGTGCTGGAGCGAGGTCAAAAGTGGCTTCTTTTTTGCTCGGTCGGGAAAATCTTTGGGCAGTGCAAACCCTATGGGCTCTTTTATGATGCATAATAATCTACGAAAATTTTTCTATCTATCCATTACTAGTTAAGATGTTTATCAATTCTCAGCAGGGAGCGTTGCCATGTCAAAAAAGACAGATTCGAAGAAAAACGCTGTGAAGTTTTTGAATTCTTGCTTCTTCCTTAACAAAGATTTGCGCAGATCTCAATATGTGTTTCATAGCCAAGAAACTGCTCAACACATTGAAACTAAGATCTTGGAAAAAAAGTTGATTTTGAAAGAAGTTACGACGTTTTGAACTCAAAAAATTCAAATCGGACAGAACTTATGCAGCAACCTAATACAAGGGAAGGATACTTAATCGCACTGACGATTGGGTAAGCGGTGTATACCGCGTATACCGTCACCAGACGGTAATCTCTAAACCCCATCCATATCTGCTATGACGTCATTCTGGAGAAGTTATAAAGGATTTTTGGTGCAGTGGATAGTGGCTTGGACTGCAGAGCTGGACGTCTTGGGTTCGATTCCTCTGGGAGGCCACTCGTTTTGCAATTTTGTAAATCTTAGCAGGCAGATTGCAAAACCTGTCTACATTTAAAAAAGTTGATTTTCACATTGTGAAGCAATATATTTACATTATTGGCACTGAACCACCGTCTAACCTAAAAACACTCGTTTTTAACCTTGAACATTGCAGTTGGTTAAATTAACATGTCGTGCATCAAAAATTGACAAAGACTCCATTTTTGACTGGTTAGCTGCTCCTCTCTATGTTAAGCACGAATTCGGAATTTTTTAATGTAAAATTGAGTAAAGTATTAGGTTGTCCCGAAAGTTTTGTCCGTTTTTTCAAACTACTATAAAACCACGCACAATAAAGACCTAGATGAGTTTTAACATGCATTCGATGCGGCTTTTGATTCTTTTTCTTATGGATACATTTTCGATCAATAATCTTGTAGGATTTTTTTTGATAATTGCCAAAATTCTCCAACTGTCAATCTTATCTGTTCAAAGTTGGGCTAATTTTTAAAAATTTCATTCCGAATTCCGGAGGGAAAGGTTAAGTATGGATCAAACAGAGCACTTCTCGGGCTACAAGGTGGTGCTTTCATATCTTCCTAGTCTGCTGTTTTAGCCTTAAACAATTATTTTTTTCGGAGGTCTCGATTTTTGGCCAAGTCGTGAAACACGCAGCTGCAGCAAATACACGAAAGCTTTTGAGATTTCTGTGAATTGAAACATAATTGTTATACATTATTTATGCAACATAACCAAGTTTGATTTGCTTTGAAAAAGCAGCTTTTGGGATTTCCGGTATTTTCACGCGGTAAACGTTATCAAAAAGCTGCGGTTTTTATTACACAAATAATTACAACGGACTTGGTAAACGTGATCAATGTAATTAAAAATAAGTACAATGTAGCCAAAGGTTTGCTCTACATAACAGTTACCAGCGTGTGAAAACATCAGGATAAAAATTTTTGAGATTCAGAAAAGATTTGGCGTAACTGCTAAGCTGCTCAAACCATAGCGATAAGATTGCAAAGACAGGGTAGATCAGAGAGCAAATATAGCCACAAGAAAGAGGATAAAAATCTGAATTAAATGGTATCTAAGCCATCCGTGAACTGGTGTTCTGCGAGTTTTAGTGAGCGACGAAAAAAACGGACGAAACTTTCGGGACAACCTAATATTTAGTGAAAAAAGCTAAAAACGAGTATTTTTAGGTTAGACGGTGGTTCAGTGCCAATAAATGCAAATATATTGCTTCATATTGTGAAAATCAACTTTTTTTGATGTCGACAGGTCTTGCAACTTGCCTGCTAAGATTTACAGAAATGCAAAACGAGTGGCCTCCCAGAGAAATCGAACCTACGACGTCCAGCTCTGCAGTCCAAGCCACTATCCACTGCACCAAAAATCCTTTATAACTTCTCCAGAATGACGTCATAGCAGATATAGATTGCGGTTTAGAGATCACCGTCTGGGGACGGTATAGCGGTATACACCGCTTACCCAATCGTCAGTGCGATTAAGTATCCTTCCCTTATTAGATATGTGGTTTTCGAAAGTGTTTGTATTTGTCTTACAAAAATTTCAGATGAGCGCTTTTGATTGCTCCACGTCATTGCATTGCACCGCTTGGCCTTCTTCCAGATTGTCCCACTGTGCTCCTGGA